CTTATCTGGGGAAGAGATAAGACATCAGCAAGGCCTGGTACATCAAAGCCTGAACTGAAGCCAGGACAGTGGCTCCACGGGTGCACTCAGTGTAACTACAGTTCAATGTGTGTGGCCCACGTTGCCTACCTGGAAGGCAGAGTATCTGGGGCCCTTGTCCACCACTTGCTTATCCTTTATCCTCCCTACTAGATGTGGGTTCCACGAAGGGCGGGAGCCTTGGCTTCCTTCTTAACCAGCGTCGTTGTCCCAGTGCCTCCCATAGCACCTGACTCCTACGAGGGCTTAACGAATGTATGTGCAGAGAATGAGTGGGAGATGGGCCACTGTTGGCATTGTCTCTGGTGTTCTAGGGTCTCAGGCCTGAGTCTGCAGCACTTGAGAGGTTCAGTGACCAGGCCCAAAGCAAAGAGTCGAAGGTTCAGAGATCCTGGAAGTGGGAGGCCAGCTGTAAAGCCAAGTGGGTCAGGAAGGAGGGCAACTGGTGTTTGTGAAGGGCTGGGCTTTCACCACAGACACCAGGCTTCCAAGATGATGAACTCCTCCTGCCCTTGACATGACCAAGGACCTCCTTCCCACTCCACAAATATCTCCACATTCCTCCCCACTGCAGCACTTCCTCCGTTTTTAGGACTGTGGTTGCCAATCAAAACACCAGGGCCACCCTAGCCGATGTGGCTCAGTGGATAGATCATCAGCCTGCAGTCTGACGAGTCCCAGGTTCAATTCCAGTTAAGGACACAAACTTTGCCGAAACCGGTTTGGCTCAGTGGTAGAGCGTCGGTCTGTGGACTGAGAGGTCCCGGGTTCGATTTCGGTCAGGGGCATGTATGTTGGTTGCAGGCACATCCCCAGTAGGGGGTGTGCAAGAGGCAGCTGGTCGATGTTTCTCTCTCATCGACATTTCTAGCTCTCTATCTCTCTCCCTTCTTCTCTGTAAAAATCAATAAAATATATTAAAAAAAAAAAAAAAAAAGGATACAAGCCTTGGTTTTGGGCTCTATCCCCAGTGGGGATGTGCAGGAGGCAGCCAATCAATGCTTCTCTCTCTTCATTGATGTTTCTATCTTCTCTCCCTCTCTTTTCCTTTCTGAAATAAAAAAAAAAAATTTTAAAAAAATAAATAAACAACAATAACAACTTAAACCTTGTTTATTTGGCCCGTGTTAGCCTTTGAGTTCGACATGCTTGGTGTACAGAGTCAGATTTACGAATGTTAAATGAAAACAAGCGATTGCTCCTGTGGTCAGAGATGCTACCCTCGTGCGTTTTAATGGGGAACACCACTCCAGCTTGGATCTGACTCATGGGGTTTCATTGCCTTTGCTATTTTATAATTCACACTCGTAACACGGAGGTTCCAGTGTGGTGAGTGGGGGGCTCATGCACTGATGATGTAGCCACTGAGGTTCTGCGTATTTGTAGGAGAATCTTTGCCGTGTTGAGCTTTCACAGACATTAAGAGTTGTCAAATACCAGCTACCTGAGAAGCTAGAGTGTGTGATGGCATAGGGAGTTCATTAGCTTTATCACAACACTCACAATGCGGAATTCTAGTACATGGTAGCAGAAATGGGCATTTTTACCTGTTGCTTATGTTTTATTTCAAATTAAAATGCAGATATAGGATAAATAATGCAATTCACCCATGTCTCTTACACATCAACAAAGAAAGAAAATAAAAACAAATGGGTCATGACGGTAAACCAGGTGTCCAAGCTGAACAAGACCACGCACACTAACAGGACAAGCAGGCGTTGGTTGGTGGCGCGTCACTGGGGAAGCGTGAAGTGGCATATTGTGCCAGGAAAGCTAACGCTGTTTCCATCTGCATTTCTGGAAGCAGGAGATCGGGAAAGAGGGAAGGATTTTCATCAAGGTGCCGGGAAGGGGCTGCATTTGTTCAGTGGGAAGCACTGTGTGCCCACATTATGGCTGCTGTTGAATGGGAGGAGAACAATGGCAACTTTGAGGCAAAGGCAGAATAGATGAGAATGCACCAAGTATGTGTTGCTGCTTGCCAGTGCTAGCATTTTAGTAGCAAAACTTCCAAGGGCCAGAGATAGACTTTATCTTCCAAAGGGATGCTTACTGGACTTTGTAGTGTCCAAGGACGGTATTGTCTGAGTTAGGAAGGAAATAATTATGTTGTCAGTTGTCCCATTCCAAAGCTAGACAGGCCCTGCAACATTGAAAGGGTTTTTGTTTGTTTGTTTGCTTCCTCCTCTTTTGTTTCTGGGTCCGTGAAATATTCATGTGGCTTAAAATTCAAAGAGTAAATCAAGTTGTCCTATAAAAAAATGTTCTCCCTCTGCCAATTTCTGTCCGCCAGCCTCTCCTCAGGGCCAACTAACGTCAGTCACCATCTTCCTTGTTGTTTCGTGTATGTCTTATTATGAAACTTTCTCCCTGGGACAGCCTAGGGTGCAAGGGTGTCCTGACTCTCTGGCTGTGTGACTGACATCCCTAAGGATGACCTCCGCTCCACAGGACTGAGTGAAGGCCAATCCCTAAAGGCTTAGGAACACGTTTTCCTGGAAACAGCAGGCACCGGCCAGCCCCTGACTTGACTGTTCTGCACCCTGCTGGTTAGGCAGTTAAACATCTGCAAAGAACAAGAGATAACATCCTGTGGGGGCGAATGTGGCTCTATCTCCTCTTACCAACTTTCCTGACAAGGTCACACAATTGCATCTTTGTTCCTGTCCGGGAGCGAACAGTTGATGCCATGGACCGCATTATTGCTGTAATCACTGGGGCTTTTGTTTATGGAGGGCAGTAACTCAGGCTTATTCACACACAGGCCTGCCCAAGTGTTCTTCACATGTGTGTTCTTTCTCCAGTGGAAGCCATAAGTGCTTCAAAGGTAAGGTCCTAATACCTAACATCACTTTCTTCCGTCTAAGCATATACCTTTGCATATGTCTGAGTAGCTCCGTGGGGACATGCTCTCTTCATTAAGTTATACATTTTTTTTCTAGGGAGACAAGAATTCCATGTACGAAACAGGGACAGAACTTACTAAAGTGCTAAATTGAGATGGGTTTGACGGGACATGGTTGCAACAGGACTGATCATCCCTGTTCTCTCTAGAGATGACATTTTACCCATTTCCAAATTTCCTAATTTAACCTCGATTCTGAAGACGTTAGTGTACAGCTGTATTAGGAGAAACAAGTTCTGTGCTTCCTCCTCTTCTCAGAAATCTTCTAGATTCTGCCTGGTAATGCCTTCCCCCAACCTGAGTAACCACACCCAAGCAGGGCTCTCCTAGGAGGAGATAGGCAGTTCTGCCTAATTTATTACACTTCAGCTACTTGGAATTGTATGGTTCTTACACATCCAGGAAGGCAGGCAGCTCAGTTGTGTGCCAGGAGCCAGTAGGTCCCTGGCAGGCCTCCCATGAGCTGTGGCAGTTGGGGACCTGGCGAAAGATGGGGTGACCCTGAGCAGAGCACCTGGTGGTAAAAGCCTGCAGGATGTCTCAGCTTAAACTGGGGACTGGAGGTGACAATGATTTTTTTTAAAGCTTCAACATGGATTTCCCTAAATACAGCATTCTTCTTCCTTCCTGGCAATAAAGGAGTTGTGCTGATTGACTGGTTTTCAAGTTCCCTGTTGGGGTGAAAGAAAGTGAAAGTGTAGGAAGGAGTAAGTCTGACTCATGCTCATGGATTTTTATTGTAATGAGAATCATATATTTTTAAAATAGCAAAATTAGGCCGGGACCGGTTTGGCTCAATGGATAGAGCGTCGGCTTGGGGACTGAAGGGTCCCGGGTTCGGTTCCGGTCAAGGGCATGTACCTTGGTTGCGGGCATATCCCCGGTAGGGGGTGTGCAAGAGGCAGCTGATCTATGACTCTCTCATCAATGTTTCTAACTCTCTATCTCTCTCCCTTCCTCTCTATATAAAATCAATAAAATATATTTTAAAAAAATAATAAAATAAAATAGCAAAATTAGGCTTCATCCTGGAAACAAAGACTACCCAAGATGATCTATGTTAAAAAAATCTGAACTGTGCATGACTTTGAAAAAGGAATTACATTCTGAGTATATGTTTAGAGTGAAGGAACTGTCCTGGCCCATTTATGAGAGGTTTTTGAATGCTCAGGAGCACACGGTAGGTAAAACAATAATGGACAAGTCCAAATTAGTACCTCCACGGATCCAGCTCAGTACAGAAAGGGTGGCAGAGTCACTCACTTGACCCCACAGCACAGAGAGAAGGCAAGTGTGGGACGCATAGGTTGACTTCATAGAAACACTCTTATTGGTAGGAAAAAGTCTGGCAGCATACGTGTGGCTCTATTTGCAAGTTGAAATGGAAATGGTGAGATTGGGTTGGTCATTGTGGAGAGGTTTGTCAAGAGCTGGGCTTCCTAATTGAGGACATTCGTCTTTAGTGTCATTACTTTCCAGAAAACCGTTGCAGGACTAGAGAGAAAAGGCAATTCACCATCTGGCTGGCTGTCCAGCAAAGCTGCTGACCAGACAGCACTAGTGTGCTAAGGCTGCATTGGGTCCAGGGTTGGACCTCAGATTCTGGGAAATGAGTTCACACGTAACCAAAAGCAAACAGACTAACAAGCATTTGAAAAGAGAAACGAAAGTTCAAAGGGAACTAGTCTTTGTGCCAACTGGACAACCCGCTCTATTACTTAACCAAAATGAGGTTGTTAAGTAGACCATGTGAGCAAAGGGAGGTAAATGATGCTAAAGGTCAATATCATTGAACTTTGAAAACCTGCTGCTGCCTTCTTTCTAGTACCTCTGCCCAGGGGCCAGCTTACTCACCGAGTAGTTGAGTTACAGCATCCTGGCAACCCTTCCCTGGAAGGCTGGCGATGCGAGGGTGTATTCTCTACACCAGAAATTCACAAAGGATCGTCCGAGGACCCCCAGGAGTCTCTGAAATCCTTTCTGGGGTGTCTGTGAGGTCAATGTTATTTTCATAATAATACTACTATGTTACCTGCCTTTTTTACTTTTCTTGTCCCCTAAGGGCCCAAGGGATTTTTCCAGAGGCCACATGTCATAGGATAATACCATCATTCTCACAACTAATGAAAGGTGTGCTTGTATATTGTTGTGTTTTTAAAATTTCTTAATTTAAATTTTTGTGATAAATATAAGTAGATATGATCCACATAAAAAAAAAAAAAAAAAAAAAAAAAAAAAAAAAAAGCTCTAAGACTCAATATTTAAGAGTGAAAAGGTTCCTAAGACCAAAAACCACCATACTAGAACAGGAGCAAAACACCAGAATGTTATTCCTTTTATAGGAGATTTTCAAAACACACTAAAACTCTAGATGAAGACTTCTTAATGTGGTTTAGAGAGCATTTCTCACTAAGCACATAATATTCAGATTACTTCAAAAGGTCCAAATTATTGCATGGGTATATATTCTCCAAATCCTCTTGTTGGATATATCCAGTTGGAGGAGGATGACAAGAAGGAGGTGGAGGCAGGTGAGTAAACATTTTTATCTGTGATTTGTTTGTCCTTTGACAATTATCTTATCTAAAATGGGTCATAATCCATGCATACCCTGAGAGGAAGTATGTACTATTTTTGGAGTTCTTGAACTGTAACTGAACTGAAACCAAGAATCATAGCCTCTCAGGAATATAGGGCAATCAAGCTAGTTGTTCTGGTTTTATGGAGTGTGTGTGGAGTGAGATGGAGAAAGAGAAAAGGAGGGAGTGAGGGAGGGAGAGAAGAGAGAGAGAGAGAGAGAGAGAGAGAGAGAGAGAGAGAGAGAGAGAGAGAGAGAGGGTCATTTTAAGCATCAGGCCTTTTGTTATTGATTTCTGGAGCTCATTCTTCAAATAGAGTCAGCATAGTGGTTGGTTCTCACATCTTGGTCCAAGGTCCACTTAGCTGGGCATTTATTTCACAAGGCCATTGCCTCCTAAGGGGTGTAAGAGGCTTTTTCCCTATGAGCCTCCCCGAAGCTGGGCATGGAATTTGGGGTCATAAATATAATACTTGGAAGTCTAGAGTTTTCTTTGGTCTCTCTGACACTACCGATACATGGGCCAGCACCCACCTGGTGAGACAAGTCCTCAAACCAGAGTAAGCAACTACAAAACACAGCGTTTGGTTTGAACTGGATTGAACAAAAATTAGATGAATGAATGTCTGATATACGCAAGGTGTCACAAGGAGAGCAAGACAAGTCACAGTTCCTGTCTTCAAGGATTACAACTGACCGTGTATCTTTTCCAGTGACAGAATCACAGTATCCTCTGTCATCTACCGGAGTTAACCGACAGAGATGAGGATAGAAGGGTGACCTCCATTTATTTCCTGTTTTTCTTCATGGGCTGAATCCTGAGGGACCTCCAGGAGCCATCTCCAGCCCCCTGGCCTGAAGGAAGAGCTGAAATAATTTCCACAGAAATCTCATGTCTTAGAAACAAGGAAATGATGCCTATTATAGTGCAATTAAGAATCTTTACCAAAATAAAATTAATGACACTCAAAATGTTCCATTTTAATCAATAAATCTTTATAATTGTGTAAATAAACCCATCATCTTTAGGAGACGATGGTAGGAGAGGGTTCCAGCCACTCTTAGGGAGGCAAACTTGACGCACTGTTTTCGTGACAGGAGATGAGGAGAGATCGGCTTGGTGAGGCTGTTTTCTCTCCAGAGAGGAAAATGTTGAGCACCGGTCACTCACTGCCTCATTGTCTTGCCCATGGGCTCCTTTCTGGGCGAGGAAGAAAGCTGTATCCCCTGCAGAGCCTTGTAGGAGTCTGACAACAACAGTTTGTGGAAGGCCCCTGTCCGGGGGCCCAGGAGGGGCAGTCTGTAGTGAATGCTCTCTGGAGGGCAGTGCGAGAAGGAAGGACAAGTGCTGCTTAGATTCTATTTTTAAAGAAACTCAAAATAACCAAAGGCCACCAATGATGTCTTTGACCCTCTGGAACAGATTCAAAATTCACAGAAGGATTCCCTTTAATAGAACCATCTTCCCCTTTTGCAGATCTTGTCAAAGAGGCCAAAAAGGAGTGCCTAGAAACCAAACTCAAGTATGAGTAGTCATGGCTGATTCAATAAAAATGAAGATAAAATGTGTCCAGATTTGTAATGTGAGTCAGAGGGAAAGAGGAATCAATCCTCAGAAGACTTTTCAGGGACCTGTATGTGGTTCTGCTCACCAAAGAAACAAACATGATCTGACAAAAGGGCCACAGTAGGGAAAGTGCTGGCATTTTCAAAGGAAATCATCGTTTTATGAGATGATTTGTTTTGGGATTCTTTAGAATCCTTACCATCCTGATCTCTCTGTCAATTATTATTTTACTTACAAAAAGTTGTTAACATTCAACTTTTCCAAAAGTCATGTGGCTTAAAGGAGAAAACCCAGTAATGAAATAACACCTTCCCATTGGAAGTCACTGAGTGATGGAGGGAACGGGAGACCTGAATTCTTTGGAACATGCTTCTCATTCTCACTGAATGAGAGCCGAGAGAGTCACAAAACAACAAGCCTAGGGTCTAATCTAGGCTCATGGCTGCGATGAAGAGGAGACCGAGGTCCAGGATCATGGGCACTGATGGACCAAGGACAAAAACCCAGAGCTCCATGTATCATACCACACGCTGTGCCAGGCCGTGGACACCCACCTCTACCCATGTTTACTGACAAGAGCCTGTGGGTGTCATGGGACTCGGGGACTCTAGGCCAGCGTCAAGGCGAGTGGATTCAGAACACATCCCTCCCCATCGCTTACAAAGATAGGCTCTTCCCATTTACTTAGTTCTCACCAATAACGATCGATAATACATCAAGTTTAGCTGAAGCCACTAGAAATCATTGTTGCAATCAAACAAAAGCGGCAGTAATGCTGATGGGATGAGTCAGCTACTTGGTCTTTGCAGTGTGTCCGCGGCAATGCAGCGCGGGCAGGTGGCCCCTGCAGCGATGAGCAGCACACACCGTGGCAGGAACTTGTCTAAGCCCCATAAAGCAGCGGGGCTGGGGAAAAGTCAGCAGTTTTTCTGGGCAGATCAAAGGTGAAGGCTGCTTGTGCTGAGGTCCTGGCTCTCTTGGGAATGGGGGTGGCCGGGCAGGGTGGGAGGCACAACCCTTCTCTAGTTTTACAGGTGGGAACACGGAGGCCCACCCAGTTTAAACAACTGGGCAAAGCTTGTATGGGCAGACCAAGATCCACAGCCAGGTCTCTGCCCCCAGGCTAGTGCCTTGCCATAACCTCAGAGAACACACACAACAGAGAACGAACAGCTCAGCTCACAGACATCATGACCAGAATCAACTGTGCATCTACCCAGCTTCAGCTCCTAGCCAACTCCATGGGCTCCGTCTGTTCTGTCCCCGGATGGACTGTATGGGCAAGGGCCGGGTCTGTCGGAGAAGGAACATCATGTGCTGATCACAATCACGTACACTAAGGCTAGCTCTCGTGTTGGCCATTGGAATGCACTCCTAGGGCTATTAAGTTAATAAAAGGCATCTTATCACACTGTTCTATAGAATCAGAGATAAGCATTCTGGATGACGGAAGGGTGTGTGTGTGTGTGTGTATGTGTGTGTGTGTTTCCTTCCCTTGTGAGGCAGACCTGGAAAAAAAAATCCAGGTTCAAAGGAAACTCAGTACTGGGGGGCTGCTACAGAGACGCCTGAAACCAGCTGCCCATGTCTGTCACCAGTGTTGTTTTGGCTTCAACAGAATGAAGTGGTTGCAGACCCGAGGAGAGCGGGGCTTTCATCGACAGGAGGATCTCAGCCCCTGGCTCTCTGTCCACTTGGTCCATGGGCTAGGCCAGACCTTTTGGATTCGTAAAAAAGGAGTCACTGGGACTAGCAGTCTTTCATCCCACGAGGGTGGACATCTCCAAACCTCAGCTGTTACCAGACTCTCTGGCCCTCCTTTTTGGGACCTTTTAAGATACCCCTTCTATGCTCAGATTTCCTTCTTGATGCCTGCTCAGTTCAGTTCTGCTCTAGCTCCTCTGCAACCGCCAGAATAGAGCTTGCACTTCCCCATCTGTATGAAGTGAAGAAAGTGACCTTGATTTTCCTTACTGTGTGTTTCAAATGGAAGAAAAACTGGAGGCGACTTCAGTCAATATGAAAGCCAATGAGAAGATGAACAAAGTCTCTAAAATGACAGCCTGCGTGGCACTGAACCCTTGGGTTCTATCACCCAGAAGAATGATCCACTTCCACCTTCCCAGCCCCATGTGGCTTCTCTGAAAGATGAGACTTAGGTAAATGCTGAAGCTGGAGACAGAGCCACTACCCCAATTCCATCAATAGCAAGCGAACAGAAGAATAGCCCTGGGCAGCTGCTGGGAGAAGGCAGGTGTGCTAGGAAACCAGTGGGTGGAAGGTTCAGGCCTTGGTAAGGCCTTTCCAGGTGGGAATGCAGTCCCCTTCCCACCTTAGCTGGTACAACCAGGACTGCCTTCCTAATACCCAATTAGTGTGTAGGCAGCTACTTTTCAACAAAGGAGCCAAAAACATACAATGGAGAAAGAAACACCTCTTTAGTAAATGGTGCTGGGGAAATTTGAATGTCATATGCAAAAGAATGAAATTAGACCACTATCAGACACTATACACAAAAATTAACTCAAAATGAATTAAAGACTTACATATAAGACCTGAAACAATAAAATACATAGAAGAAAACATAGGTACTAAACTTGGTCTCAGAAAGGTTATTGTGAAATTAACACAAAGGCAAGGAGAATAACAGCAAGAAATAGAATAAAAATTAAAGCAAAAATAAACTAAAAGGTTTCTGTACAGCAAAAGAAACCATCAAAAAGGCAAGACTGTATAATTTAGCCGCAGAGAATTACATACCAGTACACTAATATTCTTGCATAGTAATTTACACAGGATAAATTCACAACTTGAATGCAATATTATATGTTACGCTTAATAATTAAATGGTAAATTATTTTCAACCTAAATAAAAAGAAAAAGAAAAAAGAAAAGAAACCATTAACAAAATATAAAGGCAACCAACCAAATGGGAGAAGATATTTGCAAATAATACCTCTGATAAGGGGCTAATACTCAAAATAAAGAATGCATACAAATCAACAACAAAAGAATAAGCAATCCAATTTAAAAAAGGGCCAAAACTGGTTTGGCTCAATGGATAGAGGGTCGGCTTGGGGACTGAAGGGTCGCGGGTTCAATTCCAGTCAAGGGCATGTACCTTGGTTGCAGGCATATCCCCAGTGGGGTGTGTGTAAGAGGCAGCTGATCGATGACTCTCTCTCATCGATGTTTCTAACTCTCTATCTCTCTCACTTCCTCTCTGTACAAAATCAATAAAATATATTAAAAAAAAAAAAAAAAAAACGGGCAGAGAACTTAAACACTTTCCCCAAGAAAACATACGAATGGCCAACAGATATATGAAGAGATGCTCTACTTCATATATCTATTAGGGAAATGCAAATCAATACCACAATGAGATATCACATCACATCTGTTAGAATGACTGTTATCAATATGACAAGAAATAACCAGTGTTGGAGAGGATGTAGAGAAAGGGGAACCCTCATACAATGCCGGTGGGAATGTAAATGGATGTAGCCACTATGGAAAACAGTTTGGAGGTTCCTCCAAAGTTATTAATAGAGCTACCATATGACCCAGCAATCCCTCTCCTGGTATCTACCTGGGAAATTTAGAAATGTTTATTTGTAAAGAGATATGTATGTTCACTGCAGCATTATTCACAATAATAGCCAACACATGGAAACAACTGAAGGTACTTTGAAGAATGACTGGATAAAGATGATATGATACATACACACAATGGAGAACTACTCAGTCATAAAAAATGATGAAAAAATATATAAAGAACATATTGCCAATTGTGACAAAGGTGAAGTAAAATAGGTCAGATGGAAAAGGATAAGAACCATGTTATTTCACTCATTTGTGGAGCTTAAACTACAAAGCAATACATGAGCAGACAAACTCATAGACACAGACAATATAGAATGATGGTTACCATAAGGGAGGAAGGGTAGGGGAGGGTGAAGAGAATAAAGGGGGTCAAATATATAGCGATGGAAGGAGACTAGACTTTGAGTAGTGAACACACAGTGCAATGTACAGATGATGCATTATAGAATATACCTGAACCTTGCATATTGTTATTAACCAATGTCACCCCAATCAATTTAATTTTTTTTTAAAGAGAATGGGAATTTGTTCAGAAAATTTAGAAATTATCTTAGGAGATTAAACTTTTCATTCTACGACTCCGAGGACAGTGTGCCTCGCACCACACATACTTCCAAAGAAAGCAAACCTGTTGAGATGTCATCAGGGGAACACCTGGGTCCAGTGTGAGCTTTTGGTGACTGAAGACTCTTCATTCTGATTGGGGAAAGCAAGAAATCACATTGGTTATTTGACTAGGGCTTGCTGGAAAGGACTGTGTCCTTACATGTTTTAAAACAGCGATGGGCCGAAACCGATTTGGCTCAGTGGTGGAGCATCGGTCTGCGGACTGAAAGGTCCTAGGTTCGATTCTGGTCAGGAGCATGTATGTTGGTTGCGTGCACATCCCCAGTAGGGGGCGTGCAAGAGGCAGCTGGTCGATGTTTCTCTCTCATTGATGTTTCTAACTCTCTATCTCTCTCTCTTCCTCTCTGTAAAAAATCAATAAAATATATTTAAAAAATAAATAAAATAAAACAGCGATGGCCTCTTAAACCCAGCACTTGTTAGCCTGGTACTGAGGCCACCTCGCAGCAGAGACGACGGAGCCAAACTTGCAAAAATAAAGTAGTTTTGAGTTAAGTACCAAACTTGCAAGATAAACAATTTGGGGCAACAAATTGCAAAAGTCTCCTTTATAGAAGAGTGAACCTTTGCTCAGAAATGCCTGACTTTCGATAGCTGAGTTTTCCATTTGCAGTCCATAAAGACTATTTGTTAGAATAACTTTAATTGTGCTTTGACATAAGAACTATTTAGAAGTATGGACTCAGGGTAGGTGAATGTTGACATAAGAACTATTTAGAAGTATGGACTCAGGGACCGTATTTTCTGGTGTATAAGAAAACCCCCTAATTTTACAGTTAAAACATAGGTTTAGGCCTATATTCGCTGTATAAGACTACCCCTCACTTCCGAGGCAACACCAGTTCTTTTTTAAATAGACCACCTTTCTGACTCTGGCCAATCTGAGCAGGCTTTTTACTAGAACACAGTGTAGCTTCGGGTACAGAACATGTATAATTTGCATGCATAAAAAGCCTGCTCAGATTGGCCAGAGTCAGAGAGGCGGTCTATTAAAAAAAGAACTGCTGTTGCCTCGGAAGTGGGAGGTAGTCTTATACAGCGAATATAGGCCTAAACCTATGTTTTAACTGTAAAATTAGGGGTCGTCTTATACGCCGGAAAATACGGTAGGTGAATGTTATGGGTGCTGGAGCCTGTAATGCTCAGATACCCTTGTCCTCCAGGATCCTGTCTCCCTGGGCCAAGCACTGTGGTTACAATGCACCGGAGTCTACATCCCAGTGTGTACCAAATGGCCCTGAGGTCCCCTACTGCTGTCCAATGTAATAAAGACCTGTTATCCTCCCACATGATTGCTCTCTGTGTGAGCAAAAAAAGTAAAGACTGACATTAGATCACATATACCTTTGTGATTGGTCATCTATAAGGGCAACTGTATGTCCAACCATTTACTGTAAAGAATTCTGCCTACTTTGATGCCTGATGCAGGGTGAGTCCATGTTTTGAGGTGTTTTTTGTTATTGCTTTTAAATTTTATTCTCTTTTTAAAAAATTGTATTTTTAGTGATTTCAGAGGGAGTAAGAGGAAGAGAGAGAGAGAGAGAGAGAGAGAGAGAGAGAGAGAGAGATCAATGATAAGAGAAATCACTACTCACTACTGGTCAGCTGTCTTCTGTACGCCACCACTGGGGATTGCACCTGCAACCCAGGCACATGGCCTCAATGGGAAATGAACCAGATCTCCTGGTTCATAGGTCAATGCTCAACCACTGAGCCATACCGGCTGGGCTTGAGTTTTTTAGTAAAGTAAAAACTGAGTATTTCTCCCCTGTCTGATAGTTAAATACAGGAGAAAAAAAAAAACACCTTGAAATCCAACTAATCAAAATTCTGACTGAATTTTATTTCTGATATACTTGCTTTTGATAAGAAAGCAGCAAATGACAACCAAACAACTGATAAAGAAAAGGAGTATTAGTTATTAAAGAGTGCAGCATATGTCCCAGAGTCATGACAGATTCTGTGACCTGAATTAGATATGCCATCTACATAGAGAATCTGTATGCATTTCTGCCTAAGATGTCAAAGAAATTTCCTATCTTATTCCTTGTACTGTTCTTGCAAAGATCAAAAGAATTATGAAACCTTCTACAGTAGTTTCGGGGTGAAAAATTTTTTTTTGTGTCTAACTATATGGTTTAACAAAAACAAAACAAAACCAATCAAGAAGCCCATTCCCTGGCCCTGGCTGGGTAGCTCAGTTGGTTAGAGAGCATCTTCTCAAATGCCAAGGTTCCAGGTTTGATCCCCACTCAGGGCATATATAAGGATCAGCCAATGAATGCATAAATAAGTGGAATAAATCTCTTTCTCTCTCTCTCTCTCTCTTTAAAATCAATAAAAAAATAAAAGAAGCCCAATCCCTTAGCATCCCCTAAACATTCTACTTACTGTTTCTCAATTCATTATGTTTGTGTCCCCAAACCAATATAATCAGAATGAGCCCTGTCCCAATTTAAACCTTGACTTACCTATCACTCAGACAATTCTCAAAGGAATGTTTCAGATCATCTGGGATCATCACAGTTCTTGGTTGCACCTGAGGAAGACAGTCTCATTGAGAACATTGTCCAACACTGCATTCCAACTTTCATAAACTGTACGTGCCACCTTAGCAAACTCGAGTTGTTTCATATCAGAGTCAGAACTGTATCCGTTTGTGATATGAACAAACCAGAAGGAATTACCCTGCTCACGTGTCATAGGGTCTTGTTCTTCCCTTGTTATCAGATTTTGAAGTTAGATACCCCAAGATTAGTAAATCTTCCAAGTTTCTTTGGTGAGCTCACCACACCATTCTTCAGGTTTCAAGATAACTTTTTTCACAGGCACCACTGAGTCCTGGATGGCTGCCCAATGACCTCATTGCTCCTAGGCTGCCTCGACTACAATACTCATAACCTTGTCATTGTCCTAGAAGTCATTTGCTTAAAGAAGTCACTTCCCTCATAGACTTGCAGCTTCCTGAGGCCATAGACCGCATCTCTATTTTAGTATTTCCAGGTCCTTAAGAAATATGTGTTGAGCAAATCAGTGGATGAATGGACTCACTTTGAAGCATACGTGAAGGTGTGAAGTATGCCCTTCACACTGCTATCCCTGGTGGCCCCACACTAAATAACGGAGCACCAGTAATAATTATCCAAGCCACATCCTACTTGGGATTTTTATGTTATTGATACTCATCCATTTTATGCTTTTACTTTTAAAAAATAATTTTCTGCTGCTAATAATTTTTTTTTAAATGAGACATAATCCACATATTATAATATCTACCACGTTGGTGTCCAAATTCAGTGGTTTTTGGTACACTAATAAAGGTGTACAGCAATCACCACTATCCACTTCCAGAACATTTTCATGACTCATTCAGGAGTCATTCCTCCTCCCCCAAGTCCTCAGCAACCACTATTTTCTTTCTTTATGGATTCACCTACTCGGGAGATTTCATATATATGGAATTGTCCAATATGTGGTCTTTCCTGTCTATTTTCTTTAAAAGTCCCATAGCTCTGTAGTGAGTTTTGAAATTAAAAAAAAAAAAAAAAAGTGTGATTCTTCCAACTTTGTTCTTTTTCTGGATTTCTTTGGCTATTCTGTAACTCTTGCATTTCCATATGAATTTTAAGATCTGCTGGTCAGTTTCTGCAAGAAAGGCATCTGGGATTTCAAGGGCTATTGCCTTGAATCTGTGGATCCATTTGGGGGACTGTATTGCCATCTTAGCAATATTAACTCTCCTAGTTCATGAATGTGGGATTACTTCTACTTCTTTAAGTCTTCCTTAACTTCTTTCTATAATATTTGATAGTTTTCGTTGTACAAGTCTTACATTTCTTTTGTTAAATTTATTCCCAAGTATTTTAATTTTTTAGGCTACTGCAAATGGAATTGTTTTCTCAAATTTTTGAATGGTTCATTGGTAGGGTATAGAAATAAAATTAATTTTGTACTTTGATCTCATGGTCTGTACCTCTGCTGTACTCGTTTATTAGCTCTAATAGTTTGTGTGTGTGTGTGTGGATCTCTTAGAACTGCCTATATGTAAGGTCACACCATCTGCAAATGCAGTTTCACACCTTCGTTTGTAATCCGGGCTCCTTTCATCCCCTGCCCACCACTGTCATCGCCAGGCTTACCGTTTCCACCTCCTGGCATGTGGAGCACAGCTGCCAGCTCCTGCCCAGCACAGGGCCGCTGTGGCTCCTCCTGGCCTGAGGGGAGAGGAGACAGGGAGCAGTGAGGACATGCCGTGGCATCTGGGGCAGCGAAGAAGTGGGAAGAGGGGGGGAGTGGTGAGAGAGGTTAACAGTTATTCCTTCCACAAGACAGAGATGGACACCTGGTCTCAGCCCCATCCTGGGCGGATGCAGAATCGAGGCTTGACTGCAGCCTCGGTAGGTGCAGAAAGGGTTCAGGCCGGAGGGCTGAGCCAGAGACCCGGTGGTGGCCTCGGGCCCCTGAGACTGCCCTACAGGGATAGGAGGGGCCTGGGGACTGAACCAAGGTCTGTCTTTTCAACCTGAGCGCGTAGTTGGAGGGGCTGCACTTTCCCCATTTTATACAAGGGTCTGCCACGGGGACATAAGGCCCTCCAATGGCTTGAGGAAAAGTGAATAGAAGGGTTCCCTCCGCAAACCCTCCAACGCCCTGCCCTCTTTTCTCACGCCTTCACTCTCCTGCCGACACTGTCCGGCACCAGGTGGCCCTGCTCCACTTCCCGAGAGTCACAGTTTAAGCCAAAAGCAGAATGGGAGCTGGTGCGAGGGTCCCGGGCCCCTCCACCTCTGGGGCAGAGGCTGCCCTGGCCAGGGACCAGAAAGCTGCTGGTCTGCTCAGCGCTGCTTTCTCCCTGACTTCACCCCTGCCTTCCGGGCATTTGCACTCCGCCCACAGTGGGAACTTGAAACTCCTGTTGTGCCTGGGGTTCTCTCTCACCTCCCTCAGCCCCCTGAGACATGCTGGAGGGAAGCACAGACGATGGGGAGGAGGGTCCTGGGACCCGAGACCTTCACTCTGCACGGGAGCCTTCTCCTGCCACTGGATCCGGGGCCCTGAGCTGCCCCTGCTGCCCCGGGAGGCGTGCACACAGGAGGAGGGGGGACGTGTGTAAGCTAAGGGGAGTATGCCTGGGGTGCTCCTACTGTGACCTCTGCCGGGTGGGTCCCCATGAAGCCTCACCCTGCGGGGGGTGAGGACTAAAAGCGACGGACAGCGTCGGACTCTTCCACCAACTGTCTAACATACACTTCATTTGTACTGGCCACTTTAAAAGAATGGACTCAGTCTTAGCGTGCCGTGGGTCGGCATGTTACAGCGTGAGTGGGAATGACTGGATCCATTCAGCCCACAACAACACACTCACTGTGAGGCTCCCTGTGGAGGGGGTGGTGACAAATGCCTGGCCCCAGGGAAGACCAGGGAAGAATACAAACGCGTTCATTTGCCCATTCATTGGGGACGGGGACCCTGAGATAAACGAGACACAGCCTCCACGCTGTCTCCGCGCAGCAGGCCGTGCACCATCGTGTAGTATACTGAGGCCCCCGGAGGGGTCTGAGGAGGTTGAAGAGGAGGCAGTGCCTGGGTAGGTGAACAGGGGGAGGGGGGCAGGGGGAGGGCATTCCAGCCCGGAAAACGCTGTGCGGCTACACAGAGGAAGGCCCAGCCGCACCTGGGAAAGCTGGAGGTGTCTGGGTTGTCCCGTGGGGGGAGGGACGCAGTGAGAAGAGACACTGGAGAGGAAGTGTCCCGTGCTGACTCCTCTGCTTCCGGGCCAATTCAACCTTCTCCCATGTCTCCCCCGAGGTTCTAGGGGTGGGATCTCCTGGGTCTGAGCCCTTCCATCCACCCCTCACATCTCTGATTCTGAGACTGAGATTCCCGACCCCCCCCACCCCCAATCTGCGATTCAAGGTTGGGGGCACCAGGAGTCATAAAAGAGGCAACGGAACTCTGGGCCTGCAGAGAGGAGAGAGGCAACGTCTGAACGGAGGGATCAGCAAGAGCCTAGATGCAAAAAAAGTTGATGCGAACAGTCTGGGGCCCCATGTTCTGTCGCCTGCAGCTTCCTCCCTGCCGTCAGGCTCTGCCGCCGAGTCCCCTTCACTCTCGGTTTCCTCAGGGCCAGCCCAGCAGTGGCAGGAATGGACAGTTCGGAGCCCGGGCCCTGGGCTGTATTATAGAGTCGCAGCCACTGAGGAAAGAGGCTCTGAAATGTTAGAGGGCTCTCCTTTCCCAAGCAGCTGTCCCCAGGAGAGCAGACGGCAGCTGTGACTGGAGAGTGACAGTAGTCTCTGTCCCCTGGCCAAGGTCTGATGCAGGTTTCAGCTGGGCCAGGGAGCCAAAGCCTGCACTTCACACATCACAGCTGGGAACATCTGGGTCTCTGAGGTCAACATCCAGTTCCCAAGATCCAGCTCGTGGCCCAAGTCCTTGGCCCCTTTCAATTTTTGGTAAACAAAGAGAGAAGTCTCTTTCTCTCTCTCTCTCTCTCTCTCACACACACACACCTGTCTCACAACAAAAACTGAAAATGTGAGTAGCAGATGGCGACTTTAAAAATAGCACAATTCAAGGAGCACTGACAAATCTGCTCTGTACTTCCTTCCCTTCAGCACCTCCATTCCCCTTCTCCTTTTCACTCCTGCCTTAGCTGAGAGAAGTCACCTGGCTCAACTCTTTCAATGAGCACCATGAGGAAAATGTGGCCCATAGAGATTAGGGTGCCTGTCGAATAGCTCATCTAGTTAGTTTGTCCACCAGAATGTTCTCTGGTCGAAGGGTCAAGGGGCAGCGGACTCTTAGGATCCATATAAGGGGATAAAGATGCCTCTATCCCTTAGAATACAAAAAGTGGTGCTCAGAGGACTATTTTCAACAGGCCGAAATAACCCTATGATAATTAAACATTGTCCCGATTTCTGAAAATACCAGCCACCTCCATAGTTTTATGCAGCTGAATGTAGTTTTTAAAATTATCTTGCTGTTCACTCAGAAAAACTTCACATACACACACACACACACACACACACACACACACACACACACAGCAACAGCCATGTACCTGCTGTCCTGACTTATTAAACTTGGTTATTGTTACCGTTTTATTTCAGGTCACTGGCGTTCATGATTACCCCCTTTTAAGATGGTCTTAGTAGTTATATATGTTGGATCTATATCAATAGGAGACGAACGTAGGCCTATAAAACAAGGTAGTTTCTGTGGTGGTCACCAGCTTTCAAAAATGCAAGTGTCAATGAGAGAAATTTTAGAAAGAGTTCTCAGGAATGAGCACATTGGAAGTCACCCTTCGTGTGTATTTTCTCAGCTATGTCCCTGCTCCATGGCACTAGCCAGGGCTTTTTGTCACAGGACTGCTAAAAGCAAAGGTAATAACGCTCTCACCTTTATTCTGACTCATTAGACTGGAAAACAACAGATCAGAGAGGAGACAGCATCCCGGTACAGGAATGCAGAGTGGCAGGTGGCCTTTCGCCCTGCATGAGTGACTGAGTCAGTTACACCCAAGCCTGGCAAGTAGAAAAGGGGGTGCAGGGTCTTGGCAGGGGCCCCCACACATCTGCTCTGCCTGCCATGGAGCTCTGAGTGAGCTGCCTCCTGGCCTCACGCACCCACCTATCCAATTACACTTTCCTGTCCTGGGCGTCATGATGGACGCCTGGAGCGGCAGGTGGCAGTCATGACTAACAGTAGAGGTTTGCATGGGGGATGTTCAGGCTACGTTTCTTTGTCTTCATTTCATATCTTTCTTCTTTGTGAGCTCTGCTTCTCCCCTTCCATCTCCTTCCTTGTATTTTTGTCTCCTCAATGCCTCCGTGTGTCTCTTGGCTCGGCTTCCCATCTTTCTGTCTCTGAACCCGTTTCCCCTCTTTCCCTCTCTCATCAGGGAGGACTGCGCTCCAGGCACAGAGACACCCGCGCTGGCCCGGAACAGCTCCCGGGCAGGAAGGAACACCGCCTGGCTGTGGATGACCAAAGTCCTGCCCTTTGACCTGTGACAGTGAAGAGGGAGCCTGGCAGGACCTCTGCACCACACCCAAGGCCAGAAGACTCTGGTTAGTGGCAGGGCTGCCCGCAGCTCTCAGCAGGTCCCCTACTTAGAGGATAAAGGGAGAGATAGCATGTCCACAGGGCATTCCACTCCCATGAGAGGCATCATTGCTCATTGCTCTCCAGAAAGGAGCAGCTGCGGCTGTTTACCGCACAGCAGACACGCTCAGGCCTTCACGTCTGCAGCCAACACCTGAGCTCTGAGTCTGTGTGACGGGCTGGGAGCTGACCTGAGATACCTGCCAGGTGTCCCAACAGAACAAGGACCCAGTTTTGCTATGAAGGTGGCAGAATTTGCCTCTCCCAAACATGCCACTGGGCCATCCGGGTGATGTGGAGCCAAAGGCACTTTATGAGACGGCAGGTGCAAGAAGGGCGTGTTGACCCAACTTTTTCTTCCTAAAAGTAGGAGATAAAACCCCAGAAGGAAGAGGCTCTCCTTACACCAGAAGGAAAGCAACATCCTTATCATAAAGGACCAGAAGACGAAGCTGAAGGAATTCTCTGCACACAGACCTTGTCTAAATAACTCGTTTCCCCTTTAGCCTCCCCGTGCAGTTGAGTTACTTTTCCACAGTTGCCTCTCACATATGAAAACGTTTTGGCCTTGCCACTTCTTTGGGTCTTTGTTTCTGCAGGAGGGCACTCGTGTCACGTAAAACATGGTAAATACATGTGCGCGCTTTTCTCCCCCTAATTTGTCTCTGTTTGGGCTGTGCCCATGGTCCCAGCCTGGGAAGCTGCTGCTCTGTGCTTCCCTCTAGTGGCCAGACATGAGCACTGCAGCCATGAAATTCTGAGCCCTGGTGAAGGGGAACCTCTCACTGCCCTGGGCCTTAGCAATGCCTTCCTCCTTGCATCCTGGGTGCCTGGAGTCAGTGCCTCTGGTGTGCTGAGACCCAGAGCCAACCTGGAGGAGATGGCACTAGGTGGCAGGGGGAGGCGGCCTGCATAGTGTGGACGAAAGGGGCCACATGTTGACCTGACAAGCTCAGGGGAGGCCTGCACGGCGGTCTTGCAAACTCAGAGAGGTGCCACAAGCACCGTCAATTCTGGAGATCCTCCGTGCGGCTGACGGTCCCAGGGCAGTGCCTCAACCTGAAATTTTTCATTTCCCTTTTGGATGGCTCTCCCCTCAGGCCTTTATTCTTAGCTCCCGAGGACCTGGGGGCCCTGAAACGAGGTGATTGGCTGAGGCCCTTTCATTTCACTTTAGCAAATGTCTACTGAGCATCTACAATGTCCCAGGCTGGCTGTGCTAAGGAGACAGGAAGTGTTTTTGGGGTCACATTCGTGTCATCCTAGAACTGCTATTGGTTTCTTTGCAATTAAAGAAAAAAATGTTTTTGAGTACCTTAGATAAGCCGTTTGGAACTTGAGATGTATTTGGCAAATTCACATCCTTCCTCCATGAATTCGGAGAAGTGGAGGAGGCATGAGGGAATCTGAGTGGTCAAAACAAAAGCCTGTTAGAACCACAGTCTCTGGTGTGAAGGGCGGGCGAGGCCCTTGGCTGTTCCAGAGAGAAGCCACGGGGCACCCCCGGGTGGGGCAATCCACCACCTCCCCCCCCCCCCCCCCCCCCCGTGAACCATGCCCTCCCTCCAATTATTTTTTCCTGGAATTTTCTTTGCGGTTTGCGAGTGAAGGAGTGATGCTCTTCATGGGGAGACACACCTGCTGGCCGGGGTGGTTCACTTTATTACAGTAGGAGAGTTCTGAATGGGCTTTAAATATTAGCTCGCCTTGGCAAAGCAGTTGTGACACAGAACAGAAAGGGTTCTGCCAAAAATGAACAGCTTGGAACACAGAGCTTTGGCCAGATGAGGCTGTTCTCATCCTCAGGAATAGCTGATACTTCACTAGTAAACAAGCCAGCTTTTCAGAAGACTTTGCATTCCCACCTGTCCTCCCCAAAGCTCAGGGCACCTCCCAGGTGTGGTCCATTCCGTCTCAGCCTTCCTGCGGGGCAGGTGGGTGTCATTTCTCTCAACAAGGGCCCAGTGCTGGCCAGACTCTCCCAGTACAGACACGCGGAGAGCTCCCCTGACCACTGCAGGTCGTTCTCCTTGCATCTAGCTCGAGGTTGGCTGGCTGCAGGAAGAGCCACCCCTTCCCTTCCCCTGTGACGCTCCAGGACCTGGCTGTGTAAGTGAGCGGGTTCTGAGGGCACCTGGCTGTGTGCTGGGCCCGCCTTGTTCAAGCCCCGGGCCTGCACCGCCCCCCCCCCTAACCGTCCCCCCCCCCCCCACTGCTCCCCAAGACTGTACAATCAGGGAGCACTTGACCTGGGTTTCTCGGCTGACCAGATGTGTGGCCCTGCTCCCGTGTGGCTCTTCTTGCAGCCTGTGCCACCAGCAGCTGGGCTCTTACCTTCTGGGGAGGCTGAGCACGAGGGGCTTGTTCCGGAGGCTGGCCTCACACAGCCAGGGGATCTTTTCAAACTTGGGAACCGAAGCCTGGAGAGGAATGGAAAGAAATCAGAATCTGTCGCGCTTGACCAGAGCAAGCTGATGGCAGCTAGACAGCACTCAATACATTTTATTTTTTTGTGTGTGTGTGAGAGAGAGAGAAGTTAGTTACATTTAGTTAACTCTTCTGAGTTTCCCATAAAGTGGCCAAGAGCAAACAGTGTCGTCCCCATCTTACTGATGAAGAAATGGACGCTCAGCCTTTGGCCGGGTCATGCTGGTGGGGAGTGGATTCAGGGTTCCCGACTTTTGTGTCCACTGTTGTCCTGGGTGCTCTGTCCCTTTGCTTCTGGGTCATGCCCATCTGTTCTGCACCCTCGGGTGCTTCCATGCACTCCGCTGAGTGTCAGCGACCTGCTAATCAGAGTCTCTGGCTGGGTCTGCCGCCCTCATCCCTTCTCCAGGCGAAGAGGAGGACGTTAACTTTGTTCATTCACTTCCCAGCTGTGTGCGGCTCCGGACAGCCTCTGAGCCAACCACAGCCTCTCTGAGCCTCAGCTCTGTGCCCTGTGAGGGCGGGACGACCCTCACACACCACAGGCCAATGCACTGGGCGGGCAGCTCCTGGGAGGCAGGGACGGTTGCCTGTTTCACCCACAGCTGTGTCACCAGCACCTGAAACAGCGCTAGGTCCTTGTAGGGATTCCGTGACTGTGTCGGAAGAATGCACGGACCCTGGGAAGTCCCCAGCCCAGGGCCGGACTTCATGCTGGAAACTCAATGAAGGCATCCGTGCTCAGCTCTCTCCCTCCTGCCCAGCCTCCACCCCAGCCGTTCGGATGCCAGGAACCTTTGTGCTGCGGTTGCGGCGGCGGGTTGCTTTCCGAGCGGCAGTTCCGTGAGCGGCCACGAGAGGCAGCAGCGAGCGCGCCGGCGCCGGCGCCAGGAGGGCGCTCTGGCCGCGGAGGTTGAGGCGGCCCCGGAAGTGCTCCGCCGCCGCCGCGACCCCGGCGCCCCGGATGGGGAAGGAGGCGGGCGTCGGTCCCCCCCGGCCGCGCTTCCCTACGGACTGGCGGGCAGGTGGGTTCCGAGGGAGACCTGCTTCGGGGCCTCCCTCCTGGCGGGGCGGCGGCGGCGGGCGGGCGGTGCCCGGGCCGAGCCCCGGGGTCGGCCGCGGTCTCGGCGGGAGGAGGGCGGCCGCGCCGTAAGAGCCTTTTCCGGAAGCACATTTGCTGGCATTTCTGACGCCTGGGGCTTTCCCATTGTGGCGGCCGGATCACGGTCTCCGATCCCCACAGATTTTATCTTTCTAAGTTGGACGATAGCTTTCTAGAGGGCGGGTGACCGCAGTGAAAGGATCTTTAGTTTCTTCTGATTCATTGGTTTTGGCTAAATGAAACGTGGGGCTCACATTTGTCTGATGCTGTTTACTGTTCAGATGCCTTGAGAAGCCAGTCAAAGCCCTGGGTCCTGTCCCTGTACGTTTGCATAAGTGGCAGCGACAGGCATGCAGAGGCAGGGCTTGGGGACGCCCTGAGCTCATCCACAAACCTCAGGGGGTGTGAACCCCGAGTTAGGAGCTGGTTTGGAGGGAGGCACAGGCTTTGGGGTCAGACTCTGCATATGGCTCCACCGTTTACCATTGTTAACTTGGGTGAGTTACCCGAGCAATTTTACGAAGCTTTTTTTTTTTTTTTTTTTTTTTTTTTTACTAGTTAAAGTGGAACTACCTAACCTGCAGGATTGTGGAGATGGAATGAAAGAAGCAGCTACTTAAGGCACTTAGCACATTGTAGGCACTCATTGAGTGACAGCTGACAGATGTTCTGTTATTATCCCAGGGAAGGTCATTTAAAACCTGAAAGGAAATTTGAATGTCATTATTATAAGAGGGTCACCACACATATTTTGCTCAGGTTTTTAATAAAGTGAGTTGGTTTGATTTTAACTCAGCCCTGCCCTTAACCTTCAGCAGTTTTATATAGGTTCGTGGTCTTGTCTTTTCCTAGGAACTTGGCTGTGTTGTCCTGCCTCAGAGAAGAAACTCCTCTTGCAGGCCTTGCCTGGGTGGCAGCCTTTGAGAACAAGGGAAGGTCGGCACAATATCAACCACAACACAGCATGGGATTTCCGGAGAGGTCTTATTTCGAGACTTTATAAAGAACAAGAACCACATGGACTTCTGCATGGGAGATTGAGCCGGCCCGAGTGTGAGGAGAAGGATAATGTGTGACCAGCCTGTAACCAGCACCACGGAGATCAGGTGGCAGAAAGTCTTATATGAGCGACAGCCCTTTCCTGACAACTACGTGGACCAGCGGTTCCTGGAAGAGCTCCGGAAGAACATCCACGCCCGGAAGTACCAGTACTGGGCTGTGGTGTTTGAATCCAGCGTGGTGATACAGCAGCTGTGCAGTGTCTGCGTGTTTGGGGTCATCTGGTGGTATATGGACGAGGGTCTTCTGGCCCCTCATTGGCTTTTAGGGATGGGCCTGACGTTGTCACTGATTGGCTACATTTTGTTCGATCTCCTTGATGGAGGGGAAGGGCGGAGGAAGAACGGGCGGACCCGGTGGGCTGACCTCAAGAGCGCCCTGGTCTTCGTTACGTTCACGTACGGGTTTTCGCCTGTGCTGAAGACCCTGACCGAGTCCGTGAGCACCGACACCATCTACGCCATGTCGGTCTTTATGCTCTTGGGCCACCTCATCTTCTTCGACTATGGTGCCAATGCCGCCATCGTATCCAGCACCCTGTCCTTGAACATGGCCATCTTTGCTTCCGTCTGCCTGGCCTCACGCCTGCCCCGGACCCTACATGCCTTCATCATGGTGACGTTTGCCATCCAGATTTTTGCCCTGTGGCCCATGTTACAGAAGAAACTGAAGGCATGTACTCCCCGCAGCTACGTGGGAGTCACACTGCTCTTTGCGTTCTCAGCCTTGGGGGGCCTGTTGTCCATTAGCGCGGTGGGAGCCACCCTCTTTGCACTTCTGCTGGTGTCTATCTCCTGCCTCTGCCCTTTTTACCTCATTCGCCTGCAGCTTTTTAAAGAAAACATTCACGGGCCTTGGGATGAGGCTGAGATCAAAGAAGACTTGTCCAGGTTCCTCAGCTAAGTGAGGGAACTCCGTTCTGTTGTTCAGGCAAGCTGACAGACCAGCCTGCCAACTAGGATCCAGCCGAAGGCAGAGTTCCATTCTGGAAGCAGCAGGCTGATGTGGTGGGAGACCCCGAGGCTCTGGTGGTGAAGGTGCTGTCCCTTCTGTCGTTTGGTGGATGAAAAACGCTTTCTGGGGCCCTCAGGCATGGCTACCTCCCATGTCTTACTCACTGTAACAAAGGAAGTGATGCGGTTTCTATTTATTAAAAACTAACAACATATCCAGCAGATTGTGTCTCAATTTTTCTATAAGCAGAAGGCAGATAGAAGGGGCATGAAAAGTGAAGAGAGAATAACACGCAAGTGTGTGTTAATAAAGTAACCAATCTACCCTTTTCAATGTACTAATTCAGGCTCCGTTATTTATTAATATACTAATTCAGGCTCAGATCCTAGAACTCTGGATGCCATGTCTAGTTTTGTTGCCTAACACTATAGAATTGGTCTCTTAACCTTAGCTCAGGGTTTCTACTTCGTTCTTAGTGAACCATGAATGTGCCATAATATATAGCAAAATGCTGGGGGAATTCAAAGAGTCTGGGAGTCAAATTGAGCCAGAGTATTAGGAAATATTTACTAGAGGAGATAGCTTTTGAAGTTAGTCTTGGAGGTTAGGTGTGATTGAAGTGGGTGAAAGATGGTCTATGTCTAGGGCAGTGGTCGGCAAACTCAGTCAACAGAGCCAAATATCAACAGTACAATGACTGAACTTTCTTTTGAGAGCCAAATTTTTAAAACTTAAACCTCTTCTATCGCCACTTCTTCAGAATAGATTGCCCAGGCTGTGGTATTTTGTGGAAGAGCCACATGTGGCTTGCAAGCTGCAGTTTGCCAACCACTACGGGTCTAGGGTGACCCCTCTGCCCCAGCAGACCATCTAGTCAGAATTTGGGCCTGGCTTCAGATCTTTAGAATGCCAAATAAAATTCTAACTGAAATCCCAATTGCTGTCAATGTGATTTTTAACCTGAAATATGACATGAGGATTCTGTCAAAAAATCAGGCTCCCAAAAACACTGCATGCAAAATGTGCCCACCAGTGAAGCACATCTGTTCTTAGCAAGCACAGAGGTGGCAGTGTCAGAGGGGAGTTCCATGTTATGGGGAGGAAAATTGGAATGGGAGGCTTGAGTAACCAGTAGGGGCCTGTGAATATTTGGGAGTTTGGGCTTTCCCCTGCAGGTAATGAGCAGTCCAGCTGACCTGACGGGGAGTAAGCGGTCAGATCAGAGACTGGCTACTTCACTTAACTGTGTTTCATTTTTTTACATCTGGAAAGTGGGAATGAAAGTACCTCTAGAACTGTAATGATTAAATGAGATAGTTGCAAAGTACTTTGAAGAATGCTGGACACAGCATTGTATGAGCGTTAGCTATTATTACTGTTGCTACTAAGTTGACACGTAAGAGACTTGTGGGCAGAGCCAAGACACAAAATGCATCAAGTGGCCCCAGAAGAGCTGGTCCCTCCCTCGTGTAATCATTCTCTTGGGGAAAGTTCCTGAATACTATACCTTCTCTCTAGAATTTCAAATCAAATCTCATCAGGGCACCCGTGTTCCTAAGAAGTAATGTTTTTAATACTCTGAACATAGATCTCTCAAAGATGTGTTGAGCATTGATTTTAACTTGGACCAATAACTAGAAAATCAAAATGAGAAGAATCAAAGGGAAAGGAGGCTGGCCTATGAAAACAGTCAAGGCCAGCACACTGGGCCTGAAGGAAGGCTCCAGGGAGGTGCAAAGTCACCGCTGAGAACAGTGTTAGCGGGGCAAGTGAGTGGGTTAGGCTCACAAATCTTCACATAGAGGAGCAGGCTCCCTTTGAAGTTTGAGCAGGGCAAGTTTAAGACACGAAAATATAATTCTACACACTGCATGTAACACTTAGAAGTTCCGCAGGCCAGGAATATAAATGGATTCCAAAACTGTTTGGGGAGAAATGCAAATAAAAAAGCGGTGAGTGTTCTGTTGAGAATTCCCAAGCCTTTGAGGGCTGCTACATGAAGGATGGAGAGGTTCACTAAGGGGAGCTTCTCTGGGTCAGTGCTGGTGCAAAGATGTCGGCCGGGACAGCCACGCTGTGAACTAATATGACAGCTTCTGGGTAAGTTTCTCATAACATTAAGTACAGTGATGCGGGCAGTCTCTTAAACTTAAAGCAATCTCAGAGATTGCCTATAGAATACAGGGGCAGGCGAAAGTAGGTTAATAATCTATATATCGGGTCTAGTAATAATGTCGTTTTTAAACATTCGTTTAAAATCTTGCTTGGCGTTGACTTGTATTGACATAACCTTCAAACACGTGGTATCTACAGAACGTGTGAAGTGCAATTAACAAGTTTTGCTTGAAAAAGTTTGTGTTTGGTTTGGTTTTTGTTGCAAAACTAGGGCTAAGAAGATGGCGGATGAAGAGCATATTTGGCACTGCATGCTTTACGAGTTCCAATTAGGAAGAAAAGCAAGTGAGGCTGCAAAAAACATCTGTAGTGCTCTTGGTCAAGATGCAGTTAGCGCCAGAAAATGCCAGGGTTGGTTTGAGAAATTTCACGAGGGAAATTTTTCGTTAGATGACAAGAGTGGTCGAGGCCGTGTGTCCAATTTTGATCAAGAAGCTCTTCAAGCTCTTTTGGTGCAAAATCCTCAAATTACCCAACTAGAGCTTGCGACAACTTTAAATTGTTCACAAAAAACAATTTCCAATCAATTGCGTGCACTTGGCAAAGTCCAAAAGTTTGGAAAATGGGTTCCTCATGAGTTGACCGACAACAACCGTAATCAAAGAGTCACAATTTGCAGTTTGCTCCTCTCTCGTCAAAACCGTTTGCCGTTTTTAGAGCAAATTGTTACCGGAGATGAAAAATGGGTGCTGTATGTTATTATACAAGAATAAACTCTTGCACTCACAACTGTAAACCTCCTTTTGCCAAGCCCTGTATTAATAATTTAGATTTCTAGAGAATATTGTGTGTGTGTGTATGTTTGGGGTGGGGGTGGGGGTGGAGTGGGAATGGAAGGGGGAGAGGGTCACAGTAGCATTAAAACCCCAACGTGTCAAATACTTGTTTGCATTAGAAAGTGCACCCTTCCTCCTGGCTCTGCTGCTTTTCCAGGTTTTAGGAAAAGCTGGAGGTTGGTTGGTGGTGGCACGTGAGAATCAGGAGGGCAGATGGGGGAGGCTCATCGTTCCAAAACAGTACCAGGGACTGTAGCTGGGATGGAGGGATCAAGGACAGCTAGAACTACAGGGTGGCAAGTATTTGGGGCATGATGGGACTGACAGGTGATTGCCATGTGCAGGGACCTGAGTGTGGTAACATGCACTGATTCTGCATGGCGACCAAACTGGTATCTGTGCTGTGCCTGTATGTCAGTTCTGCAAACTTTTGAGTGAGCCTTTGGGCAGCTGGCTTAAGCTGTGGATTTCATAATTCATGCTGAGCATAGTTGAGAAAGCACATGGAGCCATCATTTGCATCTCCAAAACCAAAGGCTCAAGGTCAAGAAAAACAAAAACAAGCCAGCAGAGGGCATCAGTCACACAGTTTTACACTATTTCCAACAGGCTGAATGCAGGAAAATGGGCCGGACACAGTGCCATCTTGTGGAAGTTATTGATAGTCTCTTTCCTAAAGAAATTTAGTAAGAGTCTTGGGAGTCTTGCTGAATTGTGCTTAGGGAACTAGCCGAGGTTCCCACAAATTCAGGAAATAAACAGCACACTGGTATTTGATAAATTATAATAGCTACATTTTTGAGCTCCCAGAGTGTACCAGGCACTGTGTTGGGCATTTTATATACGTTGTCTTACCTGTGTCTCTTAATCCCGCCATGCAGGTATTATTTTTACTTTCAAGTTGAGTAGACTGAGAATTCCCCCAACATCTAACAAAAATCTTTACTGTCCGTCAAGGCCTATCCCTACTCACTTTTTACCATTCACATTTTATGATGTTTGGTCTCATATTGAGCACTAAATATATGACATACTGTTTTATGTGCTTGTGATAGATCTGTGACTCAAAGGTCCTTGACCTAATAGAGCTTACATTCTAGCAGGAGAAGACACACAATAGATGTAAGAAGGTAATAAAAGCCATAGGGAAAAATAATAGCATTAACTAAGGGGGTCAGGGTAGGTCTCATGGAAAAGGTAACATTTCAGCAAACACTTGAAATGCGTGAGGGAATAATCCAGACTTCCAGGGGAGGAGTGTTCCAGGAAGAGGAAAGAGCAGATACAAAGGCCTGAAGGTTAGCTTTTCCACCGTGTTTCTTGTAGCTTCAAAAAATATACTGTCGTTAGCTGTCACCCACTTGCGTGACTTGTTACTGTCTTGAGGATTCCTGAATCTCTCTGGCCCTTAGGTTTGCTTTACTCTGTGCCTGCTCACGGCTCCTTCTCACCAGGGGCTCTGAAGATGGGACCTGAGTCTGAAACTCAGGACCCAATACAACTTACTGTAAAATGTGATTAAAAACAATGGGAATAGCAGTTTATACTACTCATTTAATAGCCAGCACCTTAATCAATCTTAATATGTCAACAGTACTGCGATTCAACAGTAACTTGTAATATAACAAACACACACACACATACACACACACAAATGGGTGTATATGTGTGTAGTGGAGGTGGCTGGTGTGTTACATAGAGACTGTCATATTCTAAAAGGGCTACAGAAGCATTTTTCTTTTTCAGCACCCTTCTCTCCCTGTGGGTGAGGTCTGTGTTTTTAAAATGGATTTACAATTGTAAAGATTTGCTTCAGAATCATGGAATTGCACTGAAGAGTCCAGTATCCATTTTCTGAGTGTTTATTTTTAAATTAAAAAAAAAAAAGTTCTAAAAGAGATGTTGGCCAGTATGACATTTTTTCCAAGTCTAGGATGAAAAGGACACAAGTATATCCTACTCCAAAGCCACTAGAAATGTCCGTATCTGCAAACAAACAGCAGACGTTATTTCCTTATCTCCTTGTGGCTTTCAACTTGTAGGATGTTTGTTGAAACATCCCCGTCAGTGTAGCTGTGGTGCCCAAAGTTCATAGACCTTTACTTACCAGTGGGACTCTGGAAGGAAAGGACCGGAAGTTTGATTTCCCCTTACCTTTAGTTCTCTTTTCTCCATCTCTCAGATGACTTGGGTTTTTCTGGCTGGAGACAGGGGAGCTCTAACAACCATCACTGGTCCAACGGACGACAGCTACAGGAACCTTCTGAACC